CCAGTTTACATCCCCACCAGTAGTGGAGGAGGGTTCTCCTTTCTCCACAACCTCTCCAGCACCACATTCTTGACTAGGGATTCTGCACTGCCCTGTACTGCTAAGAGACCTACTTATGCCACCTTCATCTACAGACTTGTCACAACCCCTTGTCTGAACAAGGGTAGCGTCATCAAAAGTCGCTGTCTGTCAAACCATAGTTTATTGATTCATCGTTTTCCCATCATCCTCAGATTCTTACAAGTGGTGTTGATAGTGCCAACTTCTGATCCACACATGGAAAAAATAACTGGTGTTAGCGAAGCAAGATTGACACCAGTCTGTGTGCTGTATACATAGATGTGCGCACACATATGTGTATAATCCAGCTTGGTTGACACTTGTAAGCATTTATGTGGGAGGCCTTTCCCTCTATAAACAGGAAAACTTGGAGTTTTTCTTGAAGCACTGAAAATAACTCATAAACCTCCACAGAATACAAACTTGATAATTCCCAGCCTGGCATCTAGGAAGAACAGATCAGGTAGTAGTAGTACATGAGCATTTCTGGCAATTTAAAAATCGAAAGCAGGAGAAAAGGAAAACCGTACCCTCAGCCCAACGCAACTACCATCTCTTTCCTGTGTCATTCCTTGCATCAGAATGTATGGATAGTGTTATTGAAAAGTCTCTCTCTCTCTCTTTCCCTCTCTTCCTCTGTCTTTCTCACTTCTCTATGTGTATGTGTGCGTATTGGGCATATTTTTTGTCTTTTCTTTTTAAAGTCCTGAGGCGCAACATTAGGAATGATGTCTAATATTATAAGGAGCTCAATAAACCTTTATACAATTTAGTTACTATGGTATAAATGCCAAATTATTGCTGCTTTTTAAGCATTTTAAATTTTCACGAACATTTCTCAGGGATATCATATGTTTTTGAGCATGCTTGTGCAAATGGGTGTACATGTGGATATGTCTGGGGTTGCTTGTGTACATGCATGCACACACATGTGGAGACCAGAGGACAGCCATGGGTATCATTCCTCAGCAGTGTCTGTCACTGTCCTGGAACCCACCAAGTAGGCTAGGCTGGCTGGCCAGTGAGCCTCATGGCTCTCCTGGTCTTCACCTCCCCAGCACTAGATTACAGGTGTGTGAGACCATCCTCAGTTGCTTTTTTTAATGTAGGTTCTGGGGATCAAATTAGGGTTCTCTTTCTGAATGAGGGCTGAGCATCTTCCCCAGGGTCCTCCTTCTTGCTCAGTTTCTTTAGGTGTACAGATTTTAGCATGTTTATCCTGTATTATATGTGTAATATACACTTATAAGTGAGTATATACCACATATGTCTTTATCCCTCTGGGATACCTCACTCAGGATGATCTTTTCAATATCTCACCATTTGTCCACAAATTTCATGATTTCCTTGTTTTTAATTGCTGAGTAGTATTCCATTGTGTACATGTACCACAATTTCTGTAATATTCCTCAGTTGAGGGGCATCTGGGCTGTTTCCAGATTCTGGCTATTATGAATAAAGCTTCTATGAACATGGTTGAGCAAATGTCCTTGTTGTGTACTTGAACACATTTTGGATATAAGCCTAGGAGTGGTATAGCTGGATCTTTAGGCAGCTCTATTCTTAATTGTCTGAGAAAGACCCAGATTGATTTCCAAGTGGTTGTACAAGTTTACATTCCCACCAGCAATGGAGGAGGGTTCCCCTTTCTCCACATCCTCTCCAGCATGTGTTGTCAGTTGAATTTTTGATCTTAGCCATTATGATGGGTGTATGGTGAAATCTCAGGGTTGTTTTGATTTTCATTTCCCTGATAGCCAAGGATGTTGAGCATTTCTTTAAGTGTTTCTCTGCCATTCGATATTCCTCTATTGAGGATTCTCTGTTTAGCTCTATACCCCATTTTTAACTAGATTACCTGATTTGTTGCTGCTAATTTCTTGATTTCTTTATCTATTCTGGATATCAGACCTTTGTCAGATATAGGATTGGTGAAGATCCTTTCCCAATCTGTAGGCTGTCATTTTGTTCTGATGACAGTGTCCTTTGCTTTACAGAAAATTTCAGTTTCATGAGGTACCATTTATTGATTGTTGATCTTAGAGCCTGAGCTGTTGGTGTTCTGTTCAGGAAGTTGTTCCTGTGCCAATGAGTTCAAGGCTCTTCCCCACTTTCTCTTCTAACAGGTGTAGTGTGTCTAAATGGGATAGATAACAGAAGATAACAGAAGGGAGAAAACAGGGAACATGACAGGAGTCTACCACAGAGGGCCTCTGAAAGACTCTACCCAGCAGGGTATTGAAGCAGATACTGTGACTCATAGCCAAGCTTTGGGCAGAGTGCAGGGAATCTTATGAAAGAAAGGGGAGATAGAAAGACCTGGAGGGGACAGGAGCTCCATCAGGAGAACAACAGATCCAAAAAATCTGGGCAAAGGGGTCTTTCTGAGACTGATACTCCAACCAAGGATCATGCATGGAGAAAACCTAGAACCCCTGCTCAGATGTAGCCCATGGCAGCTCAGTCTCTAAGTTGTTTCCCTAGTAAGGGGAACAGGGACTGTCTCTGATATGATCTCAGTGGCTGGCTCTTTGATCACCTCCCCCTAGGGGGAGCAGCCTTACCAGGCCACAGAGGTAGACAATGCAGCCAGTCCTGATGAGACCTGATAGGCAAGGTCAGATTGAAGGGGAGGAGGACCTCCCCTCTCAGTGGACTTGGAGGGGTCATGGGAGGAGAAGAGAGAGGGAGGGCAGGATCTGGAGGGGGCTACAGCTGGGATACAAAGTAAATAAATTGTAATAAATAAAAACTAAATTAAAAAGTAAAATCAATTAAAAATTAAAATAAATAAAAAGAATAAATAATAAATAGATAAATAAATAAATAAATAGACAGATAAATAAATAAATAAGTAAATAAATAAATAAATAAATAAATAAATAAATAAATAAATAAATGAATAAATAAGGGTGCTCATGTTTGTAAGTCAAGACTTTACCAACTGAGCTCACCTTACCAACTTTACTGAGCTCTCTCCCCAGCCAATGGCTGCATTTCTTTTAACCAAATGGATGTGACCTATTTTATTTAGATATCCCTTCCAGTTGATGACTCTGATGATAATAAAATCAACCCCCAGAAAATAATGTGTCTTTGATGTTTCTTCTCCATTATGATTGTTCCTGTGTGATTTGTGTCTAGAGGCGGCAAGTCTGCATGAAAGGTAGAAACGTTCAATGCCTGAGGGTTCATATCACAGCTGTATTTTTGCCAGTTTCGTATGAGTAGGAAGTACCACTTGCAGTAAATACTTTGGTCCTCTTCTTACCTGGTAAAATGGGGCATCACACATGTAGACTTCTATGCACGCACATACGTACATGTGCATGTGTATGATTCTTAATGGCCACATAATGATGTCTCATTTTCTTAATTGTTAGTATTAATCACTAACGAAGTGGATATTATTTTCAAATATTTAATAGAAATCACTTACCATTTTGTTGCCACAGTTGCTTATGTACTTTTGATCCACTCGCCGATGAGTACTGATGAATTATTTTAATGTACAGACATTTTTCATTTTTATGTAATGACAAAACCAATATTTATTTTTTTTAGAGAGCGGTATGCTGTAATCCTTTGAATGAATATTCTCGTGTGAGCTTATAATTATTATTGTTCCTATAATCATCTCCACTTTAGTAGAGAGGGTGCTATGTCCCCGTGGAGAAAATAACATTCTCAGGCTTGCACAAGTAGGAGAGTTATAACAAGCACTAGGTTTTAGAATTGAGGTTGAAACCAGCAGGCTGTGTGTCATGGTTGACTTACTGAACCATTTTCCTAGGCTTCTCACTCAGAAAGTATTTTAAATATTTTTGCAATTAAAATTTCTGGTTATTTCTGTCTGTGCTGGGTATTACCTCTGAGGAGTGGTTCACTACTTTTAAAGAGGTCTGACCTCGGCTGGCAGATGTTGTCTTTACCTTGACCTGTTTGATTTAATAACAAAACTTCCCCAGTTCCTCAGAATGCTAAACCACCAGTTCAGCCTGGGCACTGACCAATCAGAGTAAACATTAGCCATGAACAGGTGCCATCTGGAGAGCTCCCTGGCCTCTGACTGTCCTGCTTAAACCTTTCTTTGGAGGGGGAAGGGCAGGTGCTCATCTGCTCAAACCATGCCGGCTCTTAATGTGTGTTACCTAATTCAGTTTTTATAAATGTAAATGTCATCTTCCATAGCATGCTTGGCTCATCAGCCCTTCCCACACACACCCTTTGGTGGTTTGATTAAATATTTACTTGAAGTTCCCTCATACTCCTTTTCTCTCTTGTTTATTTTAAGAATGAGGTTTCCACCATTTAAATGATCGCTATTTAAAAACCAGTGCTCAGGCACTCAGCTGCTCTCACTTCTCCATGTGTGGACTTGGCCTGCTGTTTTGGTTAATCACCATTATCTGCACTTGGATGGAGAGTTTTCTCACTGCTTTCTCAGTTGCAATGGTGAAGTAGATGTAGCGATGGCATGCTTAAGGGAGGGTCTATCTTCTGCCTCTGATTAGAGAACCCTTCGTTAAGCTCTGAATTGAGTTGTGGCAGGAGTTCCCTTTTTGCATGACATCTTTCCTTCATCTTAGTTTTCAGTGGCTGTGATTTGTAAATGGTTCAGTCTAATAAATTTTATAAATGATTTTTTTTTATACCATCAGTTGAACCTATCTGTTTGGGGGGAAAGAGACAATTGTAGAAGATTCAGATCAGAATAAGTATAACTGAGTGAAAATTAAGCTAGGGACCTCTACCAAAACTGATGTACAAAGCACAGTTTAACATCATAATGAAGCAGTGACTATACCCATTTCTTTATGCGCGGACTTACATGTACTGTACAGGGTATAGTGGTTTTTGTCATTGGTATGTTTACAAATCCATGTGCTAATGCCCAAACCTCTCTACCCCATTCCCTGTCTGCTTTCCTGTGTCTCCAGTGGATGTGAAATCCGAGGTTCCTATGGGCCTGGAGCCCATCTCACCATTAGACCTAAGGACAGACCTCAGGGTGATGATGCCTGTGGTGGATCCTGTTGTCCGTGAGAAGCAGCTGCAGCAGGAGTTACTTCTCATCCAGCAGCAACAGCAAATCCAGAAGCAGCTCCTGATAGCAGAGTTCCAGAAGCAGCATGAGAATCTGACCAGACAGCACCAGGCTCAGCTCCAGGAGCACATCAAGGTAGCAAATGTGTCTTTGTCTCTGACCTTCCCAGTCAGGGCATCGGCACCATGATGTGGGCATAAGACCGACCTGTGGGAGCACTGATGGGGAATTTCACTGTGATTAACACATGGATGTGTGGCTTGAAGGAAATTGTGATTGTGCTAGTTGGAAACTTGGGTAAGTACCTGGTAAACCCTCGCTTGGCTAACAGGAGCACTCTGCCACTCTTACCCTTTACCTTAGACTCACTGGTAGCAACGGGAACTTTCCTCTGTTCTTGAACATCCTCTCCCCCATGTGTGTTCCTTTGCCCCATGCACGCACCACCAAGAACCACAAGCTAGAAAGGCCACGTTATGCTGCTGAAACATCCATGTGCACTATTCATCAGGGTTAGGGTAGAGCTTTCCCGTGAATGGAGACTCCCTCCTCTGCTGTTTGTTTTGTCTTCAGCCTGGATCAGTACAAATTTTTCCTTAAAGAAAATATCCCACGGGGCATAAAATCAAGATAGAAATATAATGAAGAATTGAAGGGAGTTTTACATGCAAAATGGCATAAATATTTGAATGTTTTTATAGACATTTATTTCAGGGGAAATATAGCAATAGCTCAGAATTTTTACTGACATCTGGTGATTTTGTGTATGCCAAATTGTTCTTTTTCTTCTTTGGTATATTCACTTGAAAAAAAAGTACCACTTTAGATTTATTTGTATTTTTTTCCATATAATTGGCAAAAACATCTATTAACAGAGAACTTACACATGACTCTAAGTTCAAAACTTGGGAATTTGAGAGGGGAAGACATAAAGCTTAAAAATAACATGGACTGCAAAATGGGCAAAGTTTTTAAATTCTAAATAAGCACAAGGATGTTTTGATTCAATAAAATAGATATTTACTTTGAATTTATTTTATTAAAAGCACAAAATATTTAAAGTTACATTTTATTTTATATTTAACTCCTCCAAAGATGACTTAAATGTGATAATCAACAGAATTATGTGTTTTGTTATATTGTACTATAATGTATTCTAGGCACTTAATCTCTTATCTGTATATTAAGTACAGATACATGGATATAATATTAATATAGATATCTAACTTATAACACTAAATTACAGTGTCTAAGTAGATGAAAGTACTATTTTCTTCCCCATTTCCTTTGTTCTGTGAGACAGTATTTGCATAAAAGGCTTTTCAATGCCTAGTATAAAATATAATTTCTTTGCTTTACTAGTGAACTTACCAGTGACTTTCATATTATTGCTCCATAAACTACCTTAAAAATAAGAGTGAAGGGTTCAGCATGTGTTCCCCAAATGAAATCATTGTTTCATGGCTATATTTATATGAGTAACCTTTACTTAGTTTGTACATTTATTTTTGAATATATGCCAAAATGTTATTTCAGTTTGACCCAGAAACAATAATAGAAGCATTGATGTTTAGATCCTTTTCTTCAGTCCTTCCAGGCATGTTAACAGAGCAATGAGGCATGAGTAAGATTTACATTCATCACCTTGCTTCAAGATCTGAATAACTATATGACTTAGTTTCTTTTATGTAGAGTCCTTTGCCCCAAGTATTGAGGCACGATGATAAGCTGCTTGAATTGCTTGATTTTAGATTTCTTTTTTTCATTAATGTTTAGTACTTTTGTTGCTGCTAAAGTCAACTGTGAGTAATTTATCATTTGACTTCATTCAGAGTCTAAGAGTAGCAAGCAGGTAATTGTGTCTGTGGCACAAACAAAACAATATGGCAAGTTGATTGACATCTGGAAAAAGTTGGAAAAGCGGCACTTGAGAGAATAAGGATTGTGGGATGGTTAAAGAAAAACTACAGCATTAAGAAGACGGTTTTCCTAAGTAGTATGTTATTTTGTGAGAGATTGAAGACATATTTACACCTTCCTTTTAAGACTAGGAAGTTATGCACTTGCTTAATTCTTTTATTTCGTTTTGTTACCGTCTTGTGAATAGGTCTAAGGGTTAATGCTTTTAACGTTCATTTAGATTTATTTGCATGAGGAAGGCAGCACAGCATGCTTTAACTGCATTAGCTTTGAATGCCAGCCCTTCTCATACTCAGCACCTGCTGCCTTCCATCCTATTCTCCTAGTTCTCCCCTAGTCCACTGAGGTAGAGAGAAACAGTATCACTCTGCAAAGTCATATTGAATGTGGCTAGAATGTAAGCTCTCAAAATTGTGTTGTCTTCTCTTATCTGCCTGCAAAGCTCCCAAATCACCATACCTCACTCAAGCTTAAATGTCTGGAAATAAATATGAAGTTGTATTTCATGTAATTTTTTATTTTTTAGATAGGCCCCATTTCTATAATCTTGTCTATAAGTAGTGACTATGGGAATGAATATGTGTGCTTTTTCAATACCAGAAGGAATTATAATTCAACCACATTGAAGTTTTGGATAAAGTATTGAACCAATTTGACCAGTCTTAATATCAATATAGAATTGACATTAAAACCAAATTTAAATATAACTATGAATTTCTAAGTAACAGCAGGACATTTGAGAATGTCCATTAAGTGGTTAGTATTTACAAACAAAACACCAAGATTTTCAGATGTAATATAGAGAATAAGAGGAAAGATTCCCAATCACATGCTTGAGTTTGGGTAAGACTGTTGTAGTTGACATTAAAAGTTGCCTTCTTGGTTATCCAAAAAAACAACATGAAAGTCCTGATGACACACCTCTGTGCCTTTAATTTTTGTTCTATTATTTGCTATTAAACATAGGATTTTATGTACCTCATATTCAAAAGGCTAAATTATGCTTTAGTTGATATTACGCTATAAGTAATAATAATTGAAATATTATCATTCAAGACTAAATTTCATATGAATTATGAATCTGAATAGAAAGATATTGTTGCCTATCTTACTTTAATGAGCAGAGATTCTGAGAAGCTTTAGTATTTTGTCAGAGCTCTGCCTGGCAGAGGTAGAAGCTACAAAGGACTCTACATAGTTCTTCAATGGGTACATTTGCATTTATTCAGATATGTGCATGTTCCTTGGTCTGAAAGAAAATTGATATCATTAAAAGGTCATAATAAATAACCTCATGTTTTTGTTATGCATGGTTTGAAGTAAATTTGGAGGATTCAGAAAACCAAACAACGGTGCATGGAAGTACAGTTTGTGGAAGTGATTTCATTTGGACCTATATCTGTAATCTAGAAATTTCCATGACAGTTATGAAGTTTCTGTTATTTTTCAAGAAGTATATTGATATGTAAATTACCTCACTCTAACAAGCACTGTTTGGTAAAAGTCTCTGGGAGGTGGCAAAAGTCTTAGTGTTTGTTCTATTTCAGGTAGACTTTCCCCAACTTAATTCACACCTTAACATTATAACCACTTTAGTTTTATACTGTGTCTCAGGGTAAGAACTGATTATTTCAGTTGTCTATTTCTAGTGTGAGAGACTTTGTGAGGTAGACAGCTAGGCTGTCTCTGCCCTTTGCATGTTCCTGTGTTTTGTAGGCACACACAGAAGGGGACTAAAGGTTAAACCAACAGCATTCAAATGACCTAAGTGGATTTGGTAATAATTTTTTGATAGGGAGGCACAAGTAATGGAATCATCTAAAAGTTTGCTTGTTGTAGATACCAAAACCATCGTGACTGTAGCTTCCTGTCTTTATATTTCAATAATAAAAAGGTGGTTGAAACAAAAAAGAAAATACTATCAAGTTCCAAACGCTGATAACATTGCAATTTGGGGCAGTGAGTGATGACTTTGAAGCTTAAAGAAATTGCACACTCTCATGTCTTTCTCTTCTCGCAAGTTACAACAGGAACTTCTAGCCATAAAACAACAGCAAGAACTCCTAGAAAAGGAGCAGAAACTGGAGCAGCAGAGGCAAGAACAGGAAGTAGAGAGGCATCGCAGAGAGCAACAGCTTCCTCCTCTCAGAGGCAAAGATAGAGGACGAGAAAGTAAGAGGCACCAGGGTAACAGATACACTCTCTTCCTGAATCTTTAGCTGACCATCGCAAGGAACCTGATAAATAACGGAGATAAACTTGTCAAAACTGTCCTTGTCTGATTAAAAGAATAATGAATGTTTAGATGAAAATGCCCTTTCATATCAGCTCTGCAGAGCGTATTGAGAAACACACACAGCATTGGCAAAGACACAGGCTGGTTCTTTTGACTTTGAAAATACCATCACACTAAAGTGATCAAATGTAAAACTCCTTGTTTAGCGAAAAAAGTTAAGTCTCCATGTTTGCAGTGTGCCTCAGTTCCCTTTTGGTGTATTTAGACTGTGGAAAGACTAAAGGCAGAACATTTGCAAAATAACGGTCCACAAGAGGGAGACAGATCCAAAAGATTACCCTTTCCCCACTCAGTTCAAACTCAGGTCGCTGCAGAGTTTAAAGTGTTGATATTTGTATTGAACTTATGAACAAAATTTATTTGTTTCAGACTGAATGAATTTTAAAACAACGTTGAACTTATTGACAAAATACTCAGAAGTTTTAATGTTTTGTAGCAATCCACAACACTCTCTAAGATTCCTAATTTTAAAAAATAAAATAACATTAAAAACTAGTGTTTTGTTCCTATTTATGTAATTATTTATTTATGTAAGTACTAAAGGTTGTACATAGGACCTTACAAACACTAGGCAGGCATTGTGCCATTAGTTACAACCCCAAGTGTCAGCAATTTTCTTTTTAAATTTAAAGACAGATTGGTGATAGTTCTAGGAATCCCCTCCCTATAAACACAATCAAAGAACTCACTGAAGGTTATTTTGAAAATTTGTAACATAAAGAACAGTTACAAAACCAGGGCTCTGCCATTTTTCTAAATCCTCTGTAGATTCTGATTTTTTTTTCTTTTAATAGGAAAACTCCATGTGCTGTGGCCAGTGATATTTCTTCATGACCTTTGTTGAGCATTCTTAAGTGTTGAGAGGAAAGAACCCATAGTCACTGTCTGTTTCCCTGTGTGCGTGCGTGTGTGTTTCAGGGGCAGTGGCGAGCACAGAAGTAAAGCAGAAGCTTCAAGAATTCCTGTTGAGCAAATCAGCAACGAAAGACACTCCAGCCAATGGAAAGAATCATTCCGTGAGCCGCCATCCCAAGCTCTGGTACACGTATGTTCTGTATTTGGCTGCTTTCATCCCAAGGGTAGAGAGGGTTCTATCTCTGACTGACCTGGGAAGAATTTCTGGGCCTGCCACTTCTCAGCCGTGTCCCTATGGACAAGTTCCTGGAAATCTCTAAGGATCAGCTTCTTCTCTGCAAAAAGGATCACCGCTCTAGAGCTGCTGGGAAGTTCCTAAGAGAGGGAAAAATGTTACAAAGTAAATAGGAGTGTCAGTACTCAATTATCATTAGCATTTGTGACTGTTACCTCCTTTGTTGAATGACTAACTGGAGTCTGGGTGGAGCCCAGAGGTGGTTTTGAATCCTCAGATAGTACACCTGGGATCTGCACAGAATGTATAGACCTTTAGAAGATCATGGCTATGTTTTGTTCCACCTGCCTTAATACAAAATAGAAACCAGAGCTATTTTGAGAAATTCAGATGATTTCTGTTTTTAAGAGGGAGATAAGAAGATGAAGGCAAGGGAGAAAGATAAATAAACAAACCTAAGCCTTTGCTAACTCCTTCAGCCTTGCCCACAGGACTTCACATTTTTCCATCCAGTGAAATAAAAGTTTGTCTTCTGAGCTGCAAATCGACAACAAGGTACATGGTGTTGTTGGAGCCTTTATGGAGCCCAAGCTTCCCAAGTCTAGCAGAGATCTTACATAAAATACAATTCCTTTCTCTATGAGATAGAAATGATGTCAGGGTTTTTTTTTTTAATTTTATTTTCAGAATTAAATCAAAGACTAATATATAAATCACATTGGATAATAGGCTGATTGAGAATGGGTTCAGTTCTCACATGAACATGTATGTTGAAAGCCTTAGAGTTTATGTGACATAATTTTCCATCCCTTACATCAAGGACAGGAAGTAAATATTAATTAGTTTATGAAATTCGCAGCATCCCAAGTGTCTCCAAGAAGAGTTGCTCCACTTCTAAGCTTGTTTCAGAGGTGTCTGCTCTCCTGTTCATCCAAAGCTGAGGAAACAGGCAGACTCCAAATTATTTCAGACATTTGAACAATCATGTCCTTGATATCAGTTGTCCCGATAAACCAGTCAGTATCACAAATTAATCTAAAAAAAACAACATGATTTTATTACCTAAAATTGTCTGTATATTATATGACGGATTCATAATGCTTTCAAAGTTAACAGATTTAAAGAAAAGATAATACAGTTTTCTAACGAGAAACAACTATTAGGAAATAATTTATCTTCTGAAAATTCTTCAGTGTTCCCTTGAGTGTATTAGGCATGGCTCCTCATGTCAGTAATGATCTCGTCTTGTTTACATGGAATATAATTCCAGCTAACCATAAATCATTAACTTTAGGAGTTGGCTATGTGGCTCTCGGCAATTTCCTTGAATTCTCAAAGGACCAGCTCCTGCTTGCAAAGGGCATAATGGCACATTTCCATGCTTTTTACCAGTTATAAGTATGAGACATGACCTTAAATAAGTTAACTGTTGAGAGTATGTTTTTCATACAAAGACCTGTGGTGGAGCAGCCACAGAGGTAGGTGGCCCTGTGCCCTGGGCATGCTTTCTTTTATGTATAATAGTTGTGATATTTGTGTACACAGGGTCATCTCAGAGCAGCTGTTTGGACACTTCTCCACTAGCACAATTGCTTCTTTTCAATGCATTCATCCAAGAAAGAGAACCTATGTTTTAAAGTTAGTTGTATGTCAAAGAAGAATGTGCTCTATGTCCCACATGTCTAGAGCGCCTGTGGGGGTCAGGACTCTGTCGTGTCTTTAGTGTAAGGATCATCCTCATGCAATGAGGTCTTTGGACATGCATACTTCCTGCTACCATGGCTGTTCTGTAAGGCCACTCCAAAGAATCGATCCAAAGGGTAGCTTTTCTGTAGTTCTCAGTAGGAGCTATTGAAAAATCATACACAGTAATTTCAGGTTCTAGAAATCTCGTTGTTGTTTTTTATTATTTTGTTTTGTTTTTTTAATTCTAACAAAGGGTAGTTTTCCACATGGTTGACCTACCAAACTCAAGTTGGGCATGTCTAGGTCTCCTGCATCATACAGTGAACGTGGATGCACGAGGCTCTGGTTTGGATTCACTAAGGAGGAAGGACATAAACGCAGCTGGTGTACTGATCAGCGAGTCCAGCTGCTTACTTCTGACTAACGTCTGCTAAAACCCAACGTCAACAGGGGCCTTTGTTGTTGTTGTTTGTAGGGCTGCCCGCCACACATCACTGGATCAAAGTTCTCCGCCCCTCAGCGGAACATCGCCGTCCTACAAGTACACATTGCCAGGAGCCCAAGATGCCAAGGATGATTTCCCCTTGAGAAAAACTGGTAAGTTATCATAGCAAGGACAGCATTTACCTTCTCGTGGTACACCTCACTTTTGTTTTTGCCCACCTCCAGATGAAAAGTAATGAGGTTTGAAGAATAGGTAGAATGCCCTACACACACACCGTATTGGACCAGATGTGCCCACAATCACACGTATATACGAGTGCTGGTACGCATGCAGAGGCACGGAGATGCTTCATTCTCTCATCTCTGTTTCTGCGTGATCCCATCCACTATATAATCAACAGATCTTTGTAGTATTGAAATATCATATCTGGGTTAGCAATAAAATTATAATAAAAGGAAAACACGTATGTCATTCCTCAGAATATACAACGTTCCTCTATGCTCTCCCACTATAGCCAATATGGTTAATGTAGTTAGATAATAAGATTTGTGTACATTCTATTTTATAGCTTCCAATGTCTAGGAAGTGCAGCTTTTCAAAGGATTTAAAATGTTTTACATCCACGACTTCCAAATAGATATTCATAAATAGTTTAATCTACTGTATTTCACACAAGTCATGTTGAGGCATTGCATCTGTCACTTGCATGTAAAATCCTCAGAGTGCTGATTTCAAATAATCATATTCATTTTGCCAAGCAATTTGGAGTGTAGATTGTACAAACGTGTGCTGAAGCTAACTTCTGTCAGATAATTTGCCTGTGGCACAATGAAGATTTTAAAAATAAAATCAATCATGATTAAGAATTTATTACCACTCATTCAGTTTATGTGGCTCCAAATACAGGAGCAAGATGGCTAAGCATCACAAGGCAATCCTTGCCTTTGTGTTTTTATAGCCCAGAGATTTCGAGGCTTCTAGAAAGGCATACTAGAAAGCTTTAGTAGGAACCAATGTGGATGGAAGAACACCTGAGCTTCATGTATTGCGTCTGGATTTTATACCAATACTGACCTTATAAGTAATTTTCATTTACTTTCTTATAAGTAAATTTTATTTACTTTTTTTTGAGTAAATTTCTCTAGGACAAAAGGAGGGAAAAAAAGAGTGAGGTTTCATGAATTTCTAAACCTAAAGTGTATTTTCTGAAAGCCGATTCATTAAGGGTATTACAGCCTTAATATTTAGCAGCCTGTGTAGGAGCTATTGACAAGAATTGGATGACATTTCCATAGTTCTGGAAGAAACTGTCGTGAGACAGCCCAAGTTATCACAAGGAGGGAAGAAACAGGGTCAGTCTCCTTATGGCAGAAAGTTCCTAATAAGTTATACATTCAAAGATGCCCATACTATGAACGGGTAGCCTTAGTCTCTGACCACTGAGATGAGAGGTAGATCTGGTGGTGCCCTTGAGAGAGCGGCACTGGATAACCAAAGCATCCAGGAGGAAAACCTCTATGTTCAAAATGAATGAGCACTAAAAAGCTGGTATGTTAGATGCCCTTGTTTCCATGAGGACAGCTGAGTTTTTCCTCTGTGAGGAACGAATAGCAAGCTGTTAATTTATTCTCACTGAAGTTCCCAGCCCACAACAAAAGTTCATTTAGGATCCATGTTGTGCACCATAATCTGAATCTGGACACATGTGCATGGCGTTCCTTCTACCTTTTTATGGGATATGTGATGCATGTGAAAATCCATGGCTGTCTAGTGTCATGCTTCCTTGGTAGCTGCTCCAATATTTGAAATGTGTTCATTTTCTGCTGAAAATGTGATCTTTATGAAGTATCAGGCTGTTGATCTCCAAAACCAAACATTTTCAAACATTATAGCAATTAAAGTTCTTGAACAGCTGTTAATGCCCTTAAATCATTATAGGGTTTCAGAATACTCCTTGTTCAGTTCCTGTTGTCTGATTAAGAAAAGTGTGATGACAGGGTGTGGTGGAGCACGCCTTTAATCCCAGCACTCAGGGAGGCAAAGGCAGGTGCATCTCTGTGAGTTCCAGTCCAGACTGATCTACAAAGCAAGTCTAGAACAGCGAAGGCTACACAGAGAAACCCTGTCTCAAAAAAGCAAAAACAAACAAACAACGTGTGATATAATTAACTACAGATGTTTTCAACATACAAAATACTCAGAGATGCTCTTCAATGATTACTAGCAGGAGGAACTCTTTAAGTGCTTTAAAGAGTTACATACACTCACTTGTATGTTGCCAATTGTGTTGTGAGAAAAGTAACGCTTATCTTTGTACTCTGTAGAAGATCACTGTACATTTTCAATAATATCTCAAATGCTTCAGCTTTTGTTTTATTCCACTGACTAAAAAGTTAATTTGAAAGTGGTAAACAAAAAAAAAAAAAATGTTGCCATGATAAAAAATAAGTGTCAATTGGGGAAAGTGCTTAAGGTGATTTTTATTTTTATTTTTTATTTATTTTTTATTTTTTGGTACAAAGTTACACCACATTGAACTGAATTTAGAGTATTGCCAGCAATCATCCAGCAGAAGACCCAGGACAGCTAAGACAAGGTCAAGCTTTGTCATTAGAGCCAGATCGTCAACTTCTGCTGTCCACCTGAATGCTACTCTCAGACCTAAAGGAACATGTTGAATGAGTCAGTTCTGTCTTTTGAGCAGCATATAACCCTACATAATTTTCATGTCTTTCATCTCAACCTTTTATTGAAACACTTGTATGTAGTAGGAAGTCATAGAGACTAAAACAGGAACTAGAGTGAGAAAGTCCTAATTTAAATAGACTTAGGTGGCCCAGGGATGCTCCTGAAGCAGTGAGCATGGTTTGGGAGCTCTCTGAGCTTTCAGGACACCCTGTCATCAGACACAAACGACCAAGGAAAAACCAGCTATTGGAGAAACGTGATATATGCAGAGATCTGATCTTCATGCAAAGTACACTTTTGCTTCCCTCCTCTTGGGAGAATCAGACTTGGCCCCGATAATCTGTTTATATATATATATATATAATTTTTTTTAATGTGCATTGGTGTTTTGGTTCCCTGTATGTCTGTGTGAGGGTGTGGCATCCCCTGCTGTTACAGAGAGCTGTGAGCTGCCATCTGTGTGCTGGGAATTGAATTCATGTCCTCTGAAAGAGCAAGCAATGCTCAAATGCATCTCTTTGGAATTAGGAAGGGTTTGTTTTTATTCTTTCAGTCCTTAAATAAATGGCTGTACATAACTGACTTTGAAGCTGTGAATAACGTAATTGTTTTCAATTTTATATATTTTTGTCTATATTTAAAGTATGCCTCTCTCTAAGATTTCTTTGTCCTGTAACACAAGAATTGTTTGATGGGGCGCTTGGAATATGCTTTGGCTGGAAATCTTGTTATTGCTACAGAACTAGATTCCCCTCCCCTTCTGTAACACATTACAGGGTTGATAGTAAAGTAAAGAAGGAAGATTCTGGGTCTTGGCACTTTCAAAAGGCTGCATATTTCTCCGAGAGATATTGCATACATGGTGACTTTGCACTGACCTTCAAACCATTTAATTTGTACTCTGTTCCAGTGAGTATGTGCATATGTTTCATAAAATATTATGACAGAAATTTCTAGGGGTTTTATACCCCATTATATTATCGAGGCCTTACCCAGTGAACTTTGCCTTTCTTTGAATGTTATAGTCTTTCCACTTAATACTTCTGAACAAAGCAAGCTGGCAGGGTATGTTAGCCTCTTAAAGTGCACGAGCCATATAAAGCTTGGCTTCAGCTAATAAGACTGTTCCAGCCCTACTGAAACATTCACTTTAATGGTCGGCATCACTAGAACATGACTCAAAGATGGAAGAGATCCAAACATGTTAAGGGTGGGGAAGGCCAATGGCATTTTGTACGTAGAGTAAATTGGAAAAGGAGACAGGGTTGGGGCATACAGCTTTATGTATCTCCTGATGCAGCAGCACTCAGCAGTCAGGCTGTGGAAGCCAGGTGACCTAATCAAATCATTGCAATCCACTGTTAACAAAAGGCCATTTCCTTATAATTGCTTATGGTCTCTCTTATCCTCCCTCTTTCCTCCTCCCTTTCTCTACTTCCTTCCCTTTCTTCCAATTCTCTTCCCCTTCCATAGTTTTGTGTATTCCTTGGCATTTCAGAACTTGGTATGATGTCTAAGTGAAGCTTATTCCAAGTCTTTACCATATGGGGACATCTATCTGATTGACCTGTTTTTATTTTTACTCAGCTTGTTTTTAATCAATAAACTTTAGTTCCGAGAATGGTATTTGAATTACAGATTGAGAAAACAGCACATTGTACTTATAGTTATCCCATTATCATCAATATCAAATAGTATCAACCTATCTGTGTAGGCATGTATAGGTGATATGCATGTATGTGTTTCCATGTTCGTGGGCACATATATATGGTTGTGATTCACATATGTGTGCAGGCCAGAGGTTGACACTGCATGGCTTCCTCCACCTCTCTTTACTTTATTTACCAGCGTAAGGTGTCTTGCTGAACCTGTAACTCCTCTAATCCACCTGTCTATCTCTGACTTCTGCTGGGATTTATAGGAACACTGTCATGGCCATCTGACGTTCACTTCAGTGTGGAAGATACAAACTCTACACCTCACACTAGCCCAGCAAGTACTTTACGATCTGAGCCATCTCTCTTCCCTTCAGCCAGTTAACCCGAAAGTTCAGTGTAACATGATGGCACGCCATCTGTCTGTCATACCTTTACAAAGAATTGTATCATTGCAATTTTTTTGTTTCTCACTTACTCTTCCCTTGTGCCATCCCTAAAATAACTATGTAGTAATTCTTTGAACTTTTTTCCCTGGGTTGGAGAGATGGCTCCTTTGCCATTCTTGTAGAGAACATGGGTTCAGATCCTACCAACACGTGGTCCTTCACACTCATCTGTAACTCCAGTTCTTTGAGGATCCAATGCCATCCTCTGGTATCCATGGGTACCAGGCATGCACTTGGCAAACATACATATTTGCAGGAAAAACACTCATACACAAAATATAAACAAATCAATATTTTTTTAATTTTTTTCTGTGCAGTTGAACTTTGTCTAGTAATGTCATATAGATAGACTCATGCAGG